CCAGCTAATGACCCAAATAAACTGTACTTGAAATTGTATAATTGAGATCGAAGGCTGTCTGGGCTTCTGCTTGGGATATAGATTCCACATCCATGAGCTTTTGAGTATGGTCATTGAGCTGAAATGGAGAAGGTTAAAACTCTCATTTTCATTACCAAACACCCCCATCTCCCAATACAAATGTGACATTTCAATTTTGCACAGTCCAACTCTTCTTAAATCATCTGTATAAAAACTTCAGATCTTGATTGATGATGGATGAGCTATTGTCTCCTGAAGCACCCAGTTCTCATTACCCTTTAAGACAGAGCTTATTAATGATAGACCTGAAGTGCTTTCCCAGTGGGTCATCAGCAATGAACTGTGCTGAGGGCTCAAAAGACTTGGTTTGGCATGAAATTTACAGGCCTAAGCTGTTTTCAGATGATGCATTCAGCATTTGGGGTAAAATAGGAGAAGGGATCCCCATCATGGGGTGCTTATGGTAAAGATGCAGCACTGTCAACCTGCAAAGGTGCTTCAGCCCTGGTGAGGCTGGCCTTGGGAATTCAGGTGTCATCAGCATGTGTTGTGTAATACACATGCAGGATATACCTGCATGTGATGGAGTGTAAAAGACAGCTGCTTCCTTCATGCCAATCAGCTTGAAAGGTGTAAGATATATTCTGGTTTGCTTTTGAAGTGGTTAGAGTGGACAATGTCCTACAGTTTTTCCTAATTAATTCCCTCCCCTTTGCCTGCCCACTTCAGAGCTAGTTCTTTTCCCTCTCACCATGCCATCTTCCAGTTCCTAGTGCCAGCTTTTTGTAGAGAAGAGCTTTTAATTTGCAACCTGGAATAGCAATAGCCATTCTATAACCATTTTTGTAACAATTTTAGAAGCAGATTCTACAGCTAAATAGATGTTTACAACCCCCACTGTATATAAACATACATGAGTAACTTTCACTCCAGGATACATTACAGAATGAACATGTTTTGCCAATTTAACCCACGTTAGAGATTGGATAGCAGACCATGAGGGATTACACTGTACACCAAAAAAAAAAGTCAGCTCAATAAAATGCCCTTTTAACAGATGGAAGAAGAAAAGTGGTTTCCCTCTCTGATCTAAGCAGACACCACCCTTGCAGAGCCAGTGTCCCTTTGCAGTGATTGTATGCTTCTGGTTGCTGATAATGCGTTTTCAGTGACTTCAGTCAGACTCTGAGTCCCTTTTTGAGCTTGGCAGACTAAGTATGAGGTGGTGTACCTGTCTGTGTTCCTGGCACTTCAGTGTGAGGTGCTTGTGTTTCTTGGTTGCCGGAGTCCTGTACATTTCCATTTCTCCTGTTAGCATTGTATGGTAGGTTACCAAAGTCTGTGGGAATGTTTCACTAGGCTAATGAAAGCAAGAAAATAACAGCTATAATAACAGATAATACATTTCTGATTTAGATTCCTGAGTAAATAACCATTTAAGAGAAATTTAATAATACGCAGTTATAAGTTCCCCACAATCAGTTGGGACGAATAAGCAAAATAATGACAGAATTCAGTGGCAAGGACATGCTGATTTATTTTTGTGTAACTTTGGTTGCAGAATTATACTGCTTTTAAGCCAGTATAGTAGTTCAAATAAGGAAGATAAGATTTGTCATTCAGAATCAAGTGGCAGAAGCCCTTGGTGCTGCTCCTTTGCTCAGGGCAGGGGGCTGCAGCCCTGGTGCCAGACCAGGAGATCATGGTACTCTGAAGTGTTACACCTTCCAGAAAGATGTCCAAAGTTGTCTGGCACCTCTAGGAACTCTCTTCCCAGTGAAAGCTAGTGGGTCTTGTGCTTAGAAATTCCCTTTTGCACCTTCATGTCCCTGAGCAGGGTGGAAGCCCAAGGGTAGCACTTGCTGATAGCAGGGTCATACTTGCACTAACAGTTTTCCAATGTCACAAAAAATTGCTTCAGAAGACAAAAATACTCACCCCCAAATGGTATTTAAAATATGTTTCACTCTGAGCAGTCTGGTTTGGGGTTCTTTGGCAGGAACTGGCTTCTTTGTTCACAAAATTCACTCAGCGACTTGGCATTTTCTCTTCTGCTCCAGCCTTGGAAAAAGCTGAGCACAGAGGCACCTCAGGTGTTGCATACAGGAGAAAAAAAACTCTTTTTGCCTGGCTTCCATTGCTGCCTGCACAGGCAGAGATCCTGCCTTTCTCCTCCTGTTCATTGTTTAACTTTATCTCTCACTTTCAGGGCTGTAAATTAAAATGAGATGATGACTTTATGATGATGAGTTCATTATACAGCAGCTCTATTGTATATTGATTACAGTTGTGCTTCATTTGCTTAACATGTAGCAGAGTTTATTAGCTCTTCCCAGGCATTGTTCTTGCTAAGAGAGGGCAAAGAAGTGCAAAATGCATTTTGAGTTGAAGTCATTGAAGCCAATTCATCTGTGCCGATTTACACACACAGAGGACTTGGTGTAAAGAAAAGGAAGATGGCAGGTTGGATTGGGAAGGTGGAGTGGAAATGAATCTGGGGCCCAGAGAGCAGGAAGAGTCAAATACAAGTGCTCTAAAGCTTGTACTAAACCTAAAGTTTGAACCTAAAGCTAGAATCTAAAAGTTGAACTCAATGCTGCTTAATATCTACAAGAACCCACCTTGGATATTACTCAGGTTTGTTTGCAACTTAACCTGGAAACTTTAATTCTGTCACTAGTAAAAGATGGTGCAGTGCAGGGAAATTGGAGGTACTGTATCCCATTTTGGGGAAAAAGCAGCAGAAATAGCACTTGCTATTCGGTGATGAGGCAAGTCAGAGCATTTTTTGTGGTTATTTTTAGTAAATCACAGTGGAAGGTGTTGGCTTCCCTGAAGTATAGCATATGATACCCTTCCTGGTTACCTTTATGCTGAAAAAAATTATCTTTCTCCACAAATTAAAACTATTAGAATTACTTTTAGATTAAGATCCTGCTATACAAGAATGTGTCAAAGTTCCTAAGAGGAAAGAAACTTGGATAGGTATTGTCATGGGGGGATGCTCTTGATTCTCAGAAATTTGGCTTGTTCTGTGTGCCAGCTGACAGAGGAGTTAAGTAGAATTGTGTGTGGGAAATGGACTTGCAGAGAATTTTCAAAGCTTATAATGCATTGTAATTAGAAAATAGTTGGCTTCTGATTGTGATGGCATGAATCTGTATTATGTCACCCTTCACATGAGACTGAAAATAGAATAAAGGTTTTTAAAACCTCTCAGTTACCCCATCTCTAAGTAAAAAAAAAAAAAAAAAAAAAAAAACAACAACAACAAAAAAACCCCCAAAAAACTTAATCCAACGATTGTGTGTGTGTTTAAGAAGCTATAAATGCAGATTTTACAGTTTTTCATTGTTTTTCTGTTCTTTTTAATCAAAATCTGGGCCATAATGGATTAGGTAATTCAGTATAGCTGAGGCAACACAAAAAATCATTTCTGATCATGATTTTAGGTGTTATTCTAAGTCCCCCTTTCTCCCCAGAGCAAAATTGTTAACAGATGCTGTATGTTTTGGTTTTTTTTTTCTGTGATCATAAGAATATTATACAGACAGATCATTGCTATATCTCTAATCTGGACTGTTTTTCTGTAGCAGATTATTATCATTGTTCTCATTTATAAGTCCCTTTTCAATGAAAAGCCAAGCTTTTAAACCAGAGGTTTCTAAGAAATACTAATACTGATTAATATGGTGAGAAGATGTATTTACAGATGATCCTTTATTTAATATACTCCTTGACTGGGAGTTGCTTCATTTACATTCTGTGACCTGTAAACCCTGAAATTTAAGAAAGAAATAAAACACAGTCATTCCTTCTGTGGTGTACGTAAAGGTTTGCATTCCCACTACAGCTTTTAAAGGTTTTTGGGGCAGATGAGGATTCTCAGACTACCTTAATCAGGAATTTCATAGTCAGGAATTATTCTTCATGTCTCTGTGTGGCACTCCTGGCTCTACAGCACCACTTCGTGTCATTCCAAGGTGTCATTAGTAACTAACCTTCAGCATTTCTCTGCTGAGTCTTGAAGCTCTGACACTGGAGGTTTTAGACTCATAGTTCCTGTTAACTTTCATCAAAGTCACAGGCATTGTCTCCTGCTTTGGAAATAAAAGACAGGTTAAGTAGAGGAATTGTGAATTAGAACAAGGGTTTAGGGGGCAAAAAAAAAAAAGTTTTTGATGCAGAGGAAAGCTTGATGCTATAGCAAACATCTGTAAGATCATTTTCATGTTAAGATTTCATGAATCAAGTCTTCAGACACAGGGCAACAGAGCAGGTTTCTAAACAAACTGCTATAAATACGAAAATAAAAAGAAAATACGAAAACCCCAACAAAACACACAAAAGACCCACAACCTAAGAAGAGCCCCAAAACTTTTAACTGTTTAAAAACCATCTCTAACACAAAGCTCCCAGCAAGTCATGTCAATCAGAGTTTTGGATCATAGTGTTTGAGATTTGGACTGTTGCTTGGAGTATTTGGGTGTTTTGGATGATGGTATTACAGCAGCACAGGCTCTAATATAACATCTTCCCCAGATCTTGTGCTGACTGGCCCCTTCTTGTGTCCTGTGGGCTCATCACAGCACAGTTCTTTATTGTAAGTTTTAAGCCTTTCTGCAAATTAATGAAATGCAGTATAATGTGATTGATTGCTTGTGTTTTTCAAGTCATTTAAGTGTTGAAGGTTATTTTATCCACAAAATACAGAACTGTTCCATATGTGATCACACTGGAACAAAAAGTAAACAACTGTGTGTCAGTCTTCATCAGGTTTCTTCTGCATGTGAATAAAGGGTTTCTGTTTACAAATACTGTGAGCTGCTTGTCCTCCAGTTTTCAGGTTATTAAATGAGATTGCAGTCAGAATTTTTTTTTTGCATTTAAATTTCCTTTCTCCAATATACATTTAGCAATAGATTGAATCAGCTGTCTGAAGTCTTACAGGTATGTTGTTCTCTTGTTCTTCTGCACAGAGATACTGAATGGAGGGGTGTATGTTGGCCAGAACAAATTTCTCTGCTTTGCAGACACCATTCATTGGCAAGACATCGTGCGTAACCCCTGGGCCTCCAACTTCACTCTGGTTCCAACAAATGGCAGCTCAGGATGTAAGTACTGCTTTTATTCTCAGCCTTGTCATCCCCTCAGCATGAAACAGGATAAATATGGCAACAAGTTTTCCCTGATCCTGTGTTATGGAGAATTATGTTGGTAAATTTTCCTTTCATTGTTCCCTGCACTTTTCTAAGTTTGTCTACTGCTTGGAGGACCACTTAGTCTGTTCTCAAAACCAGTGTCTATAGAAGGTATTTGTGAACATCATAGATTTTCTGAATTTTCTCTCATCTGCTTTGTCTCTTCTGCATTTTCTTTTTCTTTATTGCTAAAGCCACTGTGGTGCTGTGGAAGCACAGACATTCTTGTTTGCTTTGCATTTGTTCCTGCTGCTCAAGCTGGTCCTTGAGCCACAATGGTCTGTCTATGGCGTCATAATTAGCTGCTGGAGTAATTATGGTGAAAGCTCACGGATATTCTGACTTTAGATGAGAAGTGAACCTCAAAGAAATAGTTATCCTGTTGTTTTGTGTGTATATCACTGAAGAGAGAGAGAGAATTTGCAGAGGAGGGGGTGTTCTTCACAATATAACCAATCATTCTCTGCTTTTTACTACATTTTCTTTATTTTAATGCTTTCCATTCCAAACTTGAAATATCTGTGTGCTTAGAGTTTTTGTATTTCCGTTCCCAAGAATTATTTGCCTTCAGTGAATCATTCTTATGATTCTTGCAGCAATAATGGATTGTAGTGAATGGTGGTGACAGGGATACAGAGTGTTTAAGCAAAATATTCCATAATGGAGTAAAGTGCATTCAGAATGAATGCTGTGCTGTTAAACAGTACCCTCAGGATGTACCAACACTGAAATTCAGAGACAGCCTGGGAAGAAGTTTATATCATGTGTCAAAGGTGGCACCACAGTAGACATATTGTTCTGAGCATTCCAGATTTGGGGACACTCTGGATTGCTTTCCATATCTGAAGGTGTCCCTCGAGGATGTTTAAATGACACATTGCCTCTCTAAATTTCACTACAGCCAAGAAACATTTCATTTCTTCAGTTGTATGGTGGCAACTCAGAAAAAAAATAAAATGTTGAGATTCTGGATAGGGACCATTTGATGAGTCCCCATAATTTCTAAGCAGCAACTTGTTTTTAACCAGGTGTTTTGTGGTGTAATAGATTTTATAGAAGGCTGGCTTGCTTTTGTCTATCTCATCTGCTCCCCTTAATACCAGAGCACAGGTACTTGTGCTAAAGCTTCCTCCAGGAGCCTGCCAAGCTGCACTGCTCCTTCACATCCCAGCTCCAGAGCTGAGCCTCATCACTTCTGGCTGGAAACCTGACATAGTTGTAATGCAGCCAGCTCTCTTATTTGCATCTTAAAAACCCTCATCACTGCTGATGATCAGTTCTAGGCAGAGTTGATAAAACCTTTGAAGGTGAGGGAATGCCTGTACCCTTTTATAGGTTATTGCTTCAAGAAAAAGCCACTTGGTTCTTACTCTGTTTTGGTCTGTTGTTGGGTTTTCTTTTAACCTTTCCTAGTTCTTCAAGACAAATGCTTCTGGTCTTTTAAAAAAGCAACCAACATCAACACTCTCTTTTTGAGGTAACAGAAGTACTGGGACAAGATCCATTCTGAGTACTTTTAGAAACACACCCTGAAAGCAAAGAAGGCAGATATTAGTGCCCACACATAGCTAGGTGAGAGAATGTATGTGCCAAAGTCCAGTTTTCTTAAAACTGTTTTTTTAATTGTTTTTGAGTTGTTTTGAAATATAGGGAAGGAACAGTTTGTGCTTTGCCATTTTTACTTGATAAATAAGATAAATAGCATTTTTTCAATGATGATTGAGAGCTATGTACAAGTCAGGTCATTAAGACAGCCACTCAAATTTTACTCTATTTTTCCTTACTTGGGATAAAGCTGTGCACAACTGGACTGTATTTAATTTAATAAACATAAGTATCTTCTAAGAAACTTGATCCCATCCCAATACAATTTATGAGTCCTGTGAAATTTGATTAAATTAGCTAATCCAAACCATTTGTCTTCACAGCTTGCACAGGTGAAAATATAAACTCCATTATACAAAAAGCCAACAAATGCTTAAAAAGATCCTAAGGCTTTGGGTAACAAAGAACTTAACCATTTAAAATAGCCTGTAATTAAATACCCATCTGTGTGTGGGTGCATGCATACACATAGGACTTGGAGAAATGAACCTTGGATTTTAACCCTGGAAATTGGTGTAGAATGTCATTAAATAAGATATATGCTTCTCAATTTTGGCTCACATGTCACTTCTCACTACCTGCTAGGGAGTGGGAGTGCTTGCTTTGCCCAGCCTTGCTTTTCTCCACTGCTGCAGATGATGCTCAGTGCATTACAAAGTTCTTTTCTGCAAGGACTGTGTCTCAGGCTTTTCTGGACCCAACATGTGTATGTATTTACTGTTTAAGTCTCAGGTGTCTCCAATAGAAATCTTGGGTAAAATCCACTGGAACTACAGAAGTACTTGTTGCTTGGCATTACTGAGAATATCCCAGTGTCAAAATATTTTGGAAAGAACTACTGGGTCTTACTGTTTATCTATATACCTTTGTAGGAGGGAATGTGAACCAACCCAACCTGCTGTGTGAAGCTCAGCAGTGTCCATCCTAGCAGTAATTTAGGGAAATCTGTGAGATCCTGTGAGACCTGGCTAGGAGCATCACATACCATGCTTAGCCATGACTGGCAGGGCTGGAGGGCATCTTTTGCCCCAGGAATTGTGAGGGCAGTGGTTCCTGACTGTTGTAGTTGAGACAGAGACGATACAAAGCAACACACTCCATTTTCAGAAGGCTTCAGACCTGTTTTTATTATAGCATGCATGCTTTTTGTACATTCTAACAAAGCTCATAAGTTTACACTTTACTCACTGGTCACAAAAGACAAACAGTGCTTATTGGAATAGCAGTTGCAGGTTTCTCTTATTTACCCTTCTTTCACTCTTGGTTTCTATGTCAACCACCTTGGTAGAAAATTCTTTCAGGAGTAAACATGGATCCTCTTAGAAAACTTCTCTCTGGCTCACAGAAGTTGCTGTAAAACCTCTTCCACACCTGGCAGAGAATACGTGCAGGGACAGAGGCTGTGACCTGCCACGGGTGTCAGAATCTGGTACCTCATCCAAACACAGCACCAAACACAGTCTGGCACTCTGGCATCACTGGTGTTGTTTCCAACCACCAGTAAAAGGACATAAAACCTCCCCAGAGGTCCTACATGTCCAAAAGAGCAGTGCCCAGCCCAGAGCAGACCCCCATGCTTGCTGGGCTTTGGCCACGGCCAGAGTGCCTGCAGCAGGTTGGTGTGAATGCAGTGTCACACAGCTGGGCACATGTGTGTGTGGAGCTCAGGCACAGCCCTGTCAGGGAGCTGCCACTGCAGCTGCCACTGCTGTTCCCTTCCCCAGCCAGCTGGGAAAGCTGATAATGATCTGACTTCAGGGATAATTTCACTTGAACCCTCCCTCCCTGCTCCAGTGCAATCAGCAGAGGAAGACAAAAGGGTGGAGTGAAATGAAGAGGCTCTGAAGTAAAATCAGTCCCCTGCCTCTGTGCTGTTTCATACCTTGGGTCTGCCAATTCTGGCAATCTCCTTCATTCACATCAGTGCCAGACAGAAGAGAATATGGCCAGTGAACTCTCCTCTGATTCCCTTCTTCACGGGTTTTCATTGTCACATCAGTAGTAAGGAGCCATTTGAAAAGGCCATGGTGTCTTAAACACTGACAGAAACACTGCAGACATGTGAATCCTGAGTGCTGCTTCTCCTTTTTTCTTCAAGTTCTGATCAAATGCATGCAGAAGAGCTCGTGTTGGAGGCCTGTGAGTGACACGGTGTCACCGTTCAGACGCACAGAGGCGGTGGCTGCTGGCGCAGCGCTCGGATAAACAAACCCTGCGCCAGGGACCACATGTGCTTCAGCTCTCCCTGGACACAGCCTCTGTGCCTGGCATTTTGACTCACACACACACTGAAATGTTCACTGCTAGCACCACCTTCCCATTCTGTATCTTGTAGCTGGAGTTTTTGGAATTAGTTGTAACTTGAAAGCAGCCTTCTCTTCTGTTTACCTGAATTCTGCGCTGCCAGCCTGGGGTTTTAGGCTGAGCACATCACAGTGGGAATCTCCAAAGCACTTAACTCTCCAAGGAACAAAATTCTCCCTTTAGGTTTGCTTTATTGAAATTGTTTCTGCAACAACGCTGAAAATCTATTTTCTCTCCTTCCACAAATCAGCCATGAATTCAAGCATTGGCCAAACATGCTGAAGCCTTGATTTGCAAGAGCCTATTCCCCTGTTAGCATATCCAATTTTTGCATTCAGTCCCTTAAATGAAAAGCTGCAGCTCTGCTCTCCAGAGGTAGAAACCCAGAGTGCAGCTCCCAGCAGAGAAAATAAATAAAGCAGGGAAAAAGAATTAGGCTTCTTGACTAAAATGCCTCCAGATTAGTAGAGCTCTCTGAGCAGCTTTTGGGAGAGTCCAGTGAAAATCTGTCTACTTTCATCTGTGTCTTCAATGTTCTCCTCAGTTTTGTTGTTTGCAGGAGCTGAACAAGCCTCACATTTTGTCAGGTGAGCTCTTTCACAGGATTTGATAAAGACCATAGTATTAAATCAAAATTTTCAGAGGAACTTTACTTGGAGCTTTTGTTTCACAGAAAAGCTTGTAGAGTTTGAATTTTTGCATTGAGGTCACTTCCATAGCCAATAGCATGTGTTCAAATCAGTCAATAATGCTCTTAAAAATATTGAAACTATGGATGCATGTTCATGATAGAGCTGGCGACTGTTTGGGTAATATGTATGCAAAAACCACTCTAAAATTTTCAAGTTTAAAAAAATTAAGCTGCTTTTCAAGGAGTTATTTAAAAGATGCTAGACTTTTCTTGAAATTTGATTCATGTATTTTCTTTAAACCAAGTTTCTGCTCAGACTGAAGTGTAGTGAGAGAAAAACTCCCTTTGTCAATCTGGCTTTTCAACTGAGTGC